TACCAATCAGATGCCGCAGATAAAGAGTCGAAGCCTCAATTCCAGGGCTGTCAAGACGATATTCACGAAACCATGTTACTAAACGTAATGGTCGTTGTCGTGTCTAATTGTTTTTCTTTTGTTGTAATACCTGTTTTTGCCAATTTTACGGTCTCATTTTATTTGCCATGCAAGCGAACTTAACAGAAAATCCGAGTTTAAAGCACCAAATATGCTCAAAACAGCACATGCGCACCGTTTTTAACCGTTTTCTACTCCCTTTTATCTTTGCTTACCTTACGTTTAAGTTACCACGTCACAAAGCTGACTTTAATTATATGTTTGCATTTAATTCAAGGCTTTATGATTTATTACAAAGTTCAGAAAAAATGGTACTACATTTCTGTCGGAAACAGTCCTCGCAGGGATGATAAATAATGAACGTGTCACAATAGTGACAGTTAACATCCCCCACGGGGAAAGTGTAACTTAAGGTTCGCAGGGGTTCATTGGAAATTCTCAATTCCTCCTGTGGCATCTGTAGTGTTTACAAAGGTCGATTAGGTCATTATCGCTCGCTGGGGTAAGGAAACAACACGTGTACAGCACAACATGGCAGCCTCAAGGGAACTGTTCAATTATAATGCGTGTGCGGAATAACCACTGTAAACAATGACTGTTACTATTTATTAGCCGCAGCACACGCTTAAAGGTGTCTATTTGTTATGCGCCCCTAAATTGCATGCAGACAAGCAAAATGAAAGCAATGGCGCCACAAAGATTCTCCTAAACATCTAACCGCACAACTACATCACGTGACCAAAGATTTCCTTACGCCAATGGTGTAACGATATTGTGAGAGAGCGGCCTAGTTACCCTGTGTAGATGTGCTATAGTGAACACAGTTGTTGTACGTAGGACTTTTCAGGACTGCGGAATTACAGAGCCTTCATAAAGCTGTTCTTGTGTTATTTTTTGCCTCAAGATCTTAACAAATGGAGTCCGGATATGTACACGAAAATTTGCAATCATCGTCATTATTTTTATTTGTCATTGTTTAGGAGGTCCAAAACAAGTAACTTAAATAACTCAAATAAATTTATTACGATAAAGGTGAATGTTACCAAATTAACAAACAGTGTCCATGTTGCTTTTTGTCTGTTCCGAAATTGATCACAGATGACGTCAAATGTGGTTAGAAAAACCACAAGTGGCACACGGGACACATAGCGTGATGTGTAACTGATGTTCTTTCCACATTTTGATATCCTCTGTGATCTATTACTGAACAAAAGCAGGGCAACATGGAGTCTGTGTGTTTTAAAAAAAAGTGTTCATGACGATCATAAGTAAGCACCAATGAAAATGCGATAATAGTGTGGATGATTATATAAATATACTCTACTTACCTGAATTACTACTATCGGC